TGTATACGATGTTAAAGACGCATTGTGCGCGCGCGAGTCGGCTCTATACCAGAAAACCATCCGTCAAAAAGTGTAGAAGAGGAGGAAAGAAAGAAAGAAAAATACGTGCCCACAAGGGCATTATTTACTCCAAGAACAGACAAGGAAATATAATTTACAGTCCGTCGCACCCGAGTTGCGCTTCTCCCCTTCGCGCCCGTTTCTCTTTGTTTTTTTTTTTTTTTTTTTTTTTCGGCATTATCGGCTGGACGTATCTGTTGACGCCGAGTGGAACCGAATGCTAATTTTTTATTTCGCCCGCCTCGCGCTATATACGCATGTATGTGTACACGCGCACACGGGCTGTAAGGTTTACGACACGCGCCAGCGACAACACGGCTGAATTAGGTGTGTATGACCAACTCTATACTACCAGCATCAGGGCACACTGTTTTCTGGTGTTTACGGGCGAGCGTTTTGCGGACGCGCGTGTATGTTTTAGGGGGAGGGGGCGATGGTTTATGGCGACAAAACCGGAAAGGGAAGCGGATAAAAGGGCCGGGGAGCTTTTCGCGTCGCTGGCCCGCCCGACGTTTTACCGCGCGTTTTTTTTGTTTTTTTTTTGTTTTTTTTTCTCCGGGAGGAGTTTCACAGCTGCGCCCCTCCAACGCACACGTGTGACGTTTGAATTTAGAACTGAAAAAATCGTGTTTTTTTCACACCTCTTGGTTTAGCGCGCTACCGCGCAGCCGAGAGAAGCATACCATACACAACAGCGCGTAGCGAAAAGCTATGCGAGTGGTATCATTCGAATGAAAAACGTTGTGTATGCTAATCAAGAGTCGACGGAAGGGGGTTTTTTGAGTATAGTCAAGTGTTTTGTACGCACAAATACACGTACAACATACGGGTATACCGGAGGCCACTCGTGTACGTCGTACAAATGAGAGACAAGTGGGGCGGGGGGAAATAAGCTTCCATAAAACCCGAGTCGCGTTCCGAGTCTGATTCATCCATTAGACGGGCCGCCGAGATTACAGGAGGAGCAGGTAATACCGAGTAGAGCATTAAAAGCTTCGTCGTCGACGTCGTCTCGGTCTCTCTGCCGTAACAATTAAGAGCGAGCAAGAACAAAAAAAAAAGAGCGGCGCGCTGTTGCTGTCCTTTCGCGCCCGGCGACGTGTATCCTCATCGCTGTGCGGGTTTAATAACCTTTCTCAGGAGCGTGGACGTGTATACGTAGGTACAGCGTAACAGATTGGAGCGAGGAAAGCGCGAACGAACTCAAACTACAAACGAAAAGAAAAAAAAAAAAAAAATGAATTCAAGGTCGAAAGCTTTCCCACGATCATTTTTTTCCAGTGTCGGCGCGGTGCCGCGTAATCGATCACGTAAACTAGTGCTGATATATACATTCGGGTGGAGGTCATTAACGACTTGGTTGCCGAGCGAGAAAGAAATAATCATCGGTGCGTTTTCTTTGTTACGTACTCGCGTATGTACGTGTATAGCGAGATGTTGGCTATTGATACGGTGTACACTCGAGTACTTACCGATAAGAAGCGCGGCTCTTTTTGATATTTTCGTTTGTACAATCGTACGTGCTTTTTTTTTCTACGAAACATAAACTCGAGTCTTTTTTTTTTTGTTTTTCTTTTACTCGATCGTTGATGTGTCACGGTGCGCGTGTTATCAGAGGTGCTTTTAGTTTTCTCTTTTGCGTTGAGTATACGCGTGATAAGCTGTTTACACGGTGCGTTTACCTATAGATCGAGTGTACAATATAGGACGGGGCAAGAAAGTTCGCCGGCGTACGAAAAGTTGAGCAAATCCGTACACTCCCGTAAAGGCTAACTACAATTGTGTGGTATTTCATAAGTAAAAATCGAAGCTGTTGTAGCGTATGGTTGTGATGGTACACGTGTTGCGCTGCCGAAGAGGAGACGAAAAAACGATAATATGATATTTGTGTCGCTTAAAAAGTGATAACTACATTAAGACTGGCTTTATCACTTTGGAAAATGTTGATCGCCTCAAAATTATATTTGTTCGTGGGGAGGTGTAAGACGGTCTTGAGAAATTTTCCGACGGGTACGACAAACCTTGCCTGCACGTGTACATTGTCACAACGCAGGTCAATATACGGGAATAGGGACATTTATGTTGACGAATTCGTATACACGTTAAAAATAAACAATAGAGGAGAAAAGATGTAACGTGTGTCGTGTGATACTTGAGTTCGTTGACTCTAGCTGGTGTATATATATAAGAGATAGTTGTTATTATAGGCGCCATCGTTACCTTGTCAAGGTTGAAGCTGCCAAGACGTTCATTGAATCAATAACATTGACAAAAAAAGAGTTGAAAAAAAAAAAAAATCTTTTTTGTAAAAGAACCAAATCCAAAGATTTTGATTCATCGAGAGTGCTATTGTGAAATGACACATTAAGATTTAGTAATTACTTCTTTCTTTTGTTCTATCCAATTATTATCACGTATTATCGATGAAAAAAAGAAGAAAAAAAAAAGTTCGTCCAAAAAATCAAGGAACCAAACGCGTAAAAATTTTCTTAGACCTCAGAGTGACGGGCGTCGTGATTCATTGTAATGTAGTTTAACCACAAATCAACGTAGTGTAGGTGTTAAAAGCAACATTCCGAGTGGTCGAACCAACAATCGGAGTATGTATATGTACAAGATGCACGTCACTCGTCATTTGTAATAATCACGAGTCGATGAGCGAGTAACCGAACGCGTTCATCCAAAGTCTCGAGGTATAGGTGCCCAGACGCCTCTTGTTCGCATGACGAAACCAAGTGACGAGTTACGATTATTCTCGGCACCGACGGTCCTCCCCCCCCCCTTTTCTTCCCCGCGTCGCGGTGATTCGGTGAAAATACCTCGATTCATCCACGATCACGATCAGCCGTTCGGTCACGTAGCCAGTTTTGGCCCAACGAGTAGGTACTTCCCACAAGTGTACATATATTTATTACCCCGTGCGGCATTGATACAACCCTATAGAATGTTGCACTACGCACTGGCGCAGGTAAATAATACAGTTGAGCATAGTAGGTATAGGTACGAGAGAAAGAGAGTGACGGTGAAGGAAGCAAGCGGTTTAATTAAAGGGACGTTACAGAGTGCCCCATCGGGCTTGGGATGAGTCCGTGTAGAAGATCACGACCGGACGATGCGCCGTGTAATCCATCGGCTGGGATTTTTAGTGCGTAGGTATATATATGTATGGAGGAGGATGAGATCGCGGGTACATAGAAAGAAAAGTCCGTGCACGCGAGAGCATATTGATATAAGCAGTTGAGCGCGTCCGTGCATGGGACTTGCTTTGCGTGAGCAGTGTGTTTTTCTTTCATACGCCGCGAGAGATATAACCAAGAGGGGGGGGAGGGTTTAGTTTTGCGTGTCTTGTGTTGTTTCTTCTTCTGTTTTTCATGCGTTGGCGTGATTAGGTGTATTTGATCGCATGCTACACTGGCTCTCCATCATCGGTGAGTAATCGACTGCTCAATTGATTACATTTTTTTTTTCTTTTTTTTTTTTTTTTTTTTTAATCATCATTGAACCGGACACCCTATATTATGACGTATGGTCGTGAAAAACAGTGGGAAGTTCGCGTACACCGTTACCACCGCATTACATCTGCACCATTGCACCTCATCCGGCCGAGAGTATATATACCCGCCACGTAAATACACAGCGTGTGGAAGCCTGGGGATGCCAGAAGTAACACATATTATATATAGGTACCTCGGGCTCCCGCATACTTGGATTTCCATTTATTCCCCGAGCAAAGCTCTCTCGGCAGAGTATTTATGTGTGCATGGGTATGTACCCATACGTCTGTATACCAGTCTGCAAATTTTTCGCGCGGAAAAAGTGCCTACAGTTGCGTACCTATATGTAATACCCATACGGATACCAGGGTACATATATATATACACCTAGATAGGGCATATAGATACTATACCTGCAGCTGTGCACGTTTATATTATACGTGTAGGCGTATATACCTAATATGTATAATTTTAAACACAAGAGTCCGTTTCTGATGTTACGTTGGAGGGAAAGAGAGCCTCGCGCGCGATTACATCCATGGGAAACTTACATACTTCGTGTGTCAGACCTTTTACACGACTGCACCGGGATATAATTTCACCAAAAGACGTAATTTATTTATTTTTTTTTTTTCGTTCTACACTCTTTGTTTGTGTTTGCACACGTGGTGTAACGTATTTGCTCGTGTCGATTTGACGTCGCGAGTACCACATACATATATACATTTAAGTACAAAGTACGCGCTACGTCTTGGCTCTGTATATGTACTTGGACGGATACGCGATTCACCCAAAGATACATCTGTAGCTGTACACACACCGCAGCAGTTGCTGTTACCCGCTGATTGATGATCGGGGGAGGAATGCGTATATATATATACATACATACATATATTATTAGGCACATAGCCGGCCGCCACTGTACGATTTATTCCGCTCGATCGCGTTTCCTCGATTTGATCTCCGTGCAGCCATTGTACCTCCGTACGTGCGTATACATGTACACAACCAGAGATCCAAACGATCGCAAACGATACTGCGTTGGTGCGGGCGCATAGGTATTTTTATCCTACGGGCGAACGGCGCAATTACGCGAATTGATATATAATGCATAGCGTACCGCTCGAAAACATTACACGGAGGATTGAGTTCTGCATCGGAAGGTCGAGGAGTTTTTTTTTTTTTCATTGTCTTGATTATACAGGGGTGGTGGTGGTGACTTGGTTCTTTGCGGTACCTTTATTCATTGTACACCATAAGCAAACGGTTTCGGCCAACAAACTACTTTTTTTCCCCTCGCCCTTGATTTAAACATGATATTATAAATATACCCGAGACAGTTGACTGTAACAATGAAATGCATGATTATTGTAATAAATATAAAAAAAAAAAAAAAAATGCAAATAAGTATAATCATATGAAACGATGATTGTGTGTTTGTTTCAGGTATGCCGGTTGACTGAAGATGGCCTCGCCGACACCATCGCTGGAATCGCGCGCGAATTCCCTCGGCTCCCTGGCCTCGCTCTCGCCGCTCACAGTGAGCGACAGCTCGCCCCCGGCGAGCGACTCGGCCATCTGCGACGTCGACAGCTGCGACCTGTGCCTCGACGCGCCCCTCGGCAAGCCCGGCGACGCGGCTACCTCCTGTCCGCGCTGCTGTCGCCTAGGCACGACCCCGTCAAGCGGTGGCACCACCCACCACCTACACCACATCATAACCAGCAACGGTACCACATCGGTGCCCAACATCAGCGGACCCGGCTCATCGGCCAGTAGCACCAGCAGCTGTTCCTCCTCGAGCAGCAGCACCAGCGGCACGGGCAGCGCGACCGGCAACCTATTAGCGGGCGTCTCGCTAAGTCCCCTCGTCCTCGGCGATCTCGGCATCGTCAACGGCCCCCCGAGCACCAACGGCGCTATCATCAACGGCAACACCCTCGGCTGTTCCCTCGGCCTCGGTGTACGCTGCACCGGCTGCAAATCCACCGAGTCCGACGCTGTGGCGCGCTGCTACGACTGCGCCAATTTTCTCTGTCCCAATTGCGTGATGGCCCACCAATTCATGCACTGTTTCGAGGGCCACCGGGTCCTTAACCTCGGCAACGGCAACACAACAACCACCACCACCACCACCAGCAGTGGCAACAACTCGAACGGCTCATCCTCGGCCTCGTCCTCGTCCTCCTCGTCGTCCTCGTCGATGGAGAACGGCTCGAGCGGCAAGCAGCAGTCCTCCTCCGACTGCCAGCCGACCACCAACGGCCAACAGTCGAACGGCACGGGCTCGCCCAACGGCTGCAACGGCAGTAGCGACGCCTCGAGCAAGGGCAGCAACGGGCCACCGCCCTCGAGCAACGGCTCCAGCCAACAACAGCAGCAGCAGCAGCAGCAGCAGCAGCAGCAGCAACAACAACAACAACAGCAACAGCAGTCGATCGTTCAGAGTCTCGTGGCGAATTCGCTCATGATGAACGGTGGTGGCGGTGGAGGTGGTGGTGGAGGTGGTGGTGGCGGCGGTAATCAACAGCAGCACCAGCAACAGCAGCACCAGAGCAACGGCGAGAAGCCGATACTGTGCGCGCGCCACAAGGGCGAGCTGCTCAAGTACTATTGTCGCAGCTGCACGGTGCCCATTTGCAAGGAGTGCACGCTCAACGAGCACCCGAGCCCGATGCACGATTACGTGCACGTGAGCGAGATCGGGCCGCAGCTTCACGAGGCGGTGACGCGCGCTGTCCAAGAGTGCCGTGGCAAGGCCGGCGAGATCAGATCTGCGGTCAAGGCGGCCGATCACGGCGCGGCCCGGCTCCAGGTACAGTACCACAAGGCCCAGAACGAGATCAACGAGACCTTCCAGTTTTACCGGTCGATGCTCGAGGAGCGCAAGCAGGAGCTGCTCAAGGAGCTCGAGTCCATATTCTCGGCCAAGCAGATCAGCCTCGGCGTCTGCACGCAAAAGGCCAACGAGATGGTCGACAAGATACAACAGACCTGCGACTTTGTCGAACGAGTGAGCAAGTGTTCGAACGTCCTCGACGTGCTCATGGTGAAGAAACTGCTGGACGGCAAGCTCCAGATGATACTCAATTATTCGGCGGACGTCAACGCCCAGACGACGGATCTCGAGTTCGTCAGCAATTACCAGGCTATCCAGGTTGGTGTGCGCAACACTTTCGGCTACGTGCGCAGTAGCAGCAACGGCGGTGGTGGAGGAGGCGGCAACGGTGGCGAGGGCAATTCTGGTCCGAGCAAGCAGCCACCCATAGCCAGACCCTCGGCCAGTCATGGTCAGCAGATGGGCGGTGCTCCGGGAAGCGGGAGCAGCTCGGCGAGCAGCGGACCCGGTAGCGCGGGTAGCCTCGGCGGTCTTCTTCTCGATCGACCCTACAGCAACGGACTCATATCCGCGGCCGCGTCCAACTGTCAGAGCGGCTCGCCCTCGCCCTTCGAGAACACGGGCAGCGTCATCAGCAAGCGTTTCTCCTCCGCCAACAGTCTCGGGCCCTTCTCCACCAGCATCAGCGAGCTCCACCTCAACGGCATGAACAACCCCTACGAGAAGTGGAGCAACGGCGGCTCCGATCCTTACCCCGGGGTCACGGTGCCCGAGCACGGCTTTCCGATACCCAACGTGTCGGCCACTGGTGCCGGGGCGCCTGGCGACTCCGTACTCGACCTTACCTCCAAACTGATGCCCACAGCGGCCATATTCCCGCTCAAGTCGCAGATCAAGCGCCAAAAGATGATTTATCACTGCAAGTTCGGTGAATTCGGGATAATGGAGGGCCAGTTTACCGAGCCCTCGGGGGTAGCCGTGAACGCGCAGAACGACATCATTGTCGCGGACACGAACAACCACCGTATCCAGATCTTCGACAAGGAGGGACGCTTCAAATTCCAATTTGGCGAGTGCGGCAAACGGGACGGCCAGCTGCTCTATCCCAACCGTGTGGCTGTCGTTCGCACCTCGGGTGACATCATCGTCACGGAGCGCTCGCCTACTCATCAGATACAGATCTACAATCAGTACGGCCAATTTGTCCGCAAATTCGGCGCAAACATCCTTCAGCACCCGCGTGGCGTCACTGTCGACTCCAAGGGCCGCATCGTCGTTGTCGAGTGCAAAGTCATGCGAGTCATTATCTTCGACCAAATGGGCAACGTTCTCCAAAAGTTTGGCTGCTCGAAGCACCTCGAGTTCCCCAACGGCGTTGTTGTCAATGACAAGCAGGAGATCTTCATCAGCGACAATCGAGCGCACTGCGTCAAGGTCTTCAATTACGAGGGTGCCTACATCCGCCAGATAGGCGGCGAGGGCATCACCAATTACCCAATCGGCGTTGGCATCAACAGCGCCGGCGAGATCCTGATCGCTGACAACCACAACAACTTTAACCTGACGATCTTCACGCAGGACGGCAATCTCGTCTCGGCCCTCGAGTCCAAGGTCAAGCATGCCCAATGCTTCGACGTCGCGCTCATGGACGACGGTAGCGTCGTTCTCGCGAGCAAGGACTATCGGCTTTACATCTACCGCTACGTGCAGGTGCCGCCTATCGGCATATAGAGTCGCGTTCAGCGACACCGATGACGCGCCCTCCTACATACAAGAAGCACAGCAGCAGCAGCAGCAGCAGCAGCCGCGACAAAGAGGGACTGAACTGCAACGGGAGCACAAATCTGCTGGCTAGTGAGACCCAATCGAGCGCACAGTTGTGCCGATATTTTTCTCTCTCGCTCTCACTCTCTGCAACTGACACATGTACGTACGTAATCGCTCGTACTTGGGCCCAAGCCACCTTTTCGTTTTTTTTTTTTTTTTTTTTTTTTCCTTTTCCTTGGAGAGCATGCCTTTCCCCTCTGTCTCTGCCTGCCTTTTCGCTGATGTGTATCTGTTGTTTAAGAAAGGAAAAAAAAAAAAAAAAAAAAAAAAAACAGTGCGTGTACAAAAACCCGGGAGCTACAACCTCTGTGTATTTTTTATGAGCCGATAGAACTAGACTCTGCATACATCCGAGGAACAATACTGTGTGTGTGTGTGTGCGCGAAAGATAAAATCGGACGCTCTCAATTGTTGATGACCAAGTGCAAATTACCATCGTGAACGTAGAAGGTGTGGGTCGTTTTTGAAATGAAAGAGGCAAAGGTGATTGGCAAAGTGCTAAGGAGGATGAGAACTCGCCAAGTGATAAAAAAAAAAAAAAAAAAAAAAGAAAGAAAGAAAGAAAGAAAAAAAGTTCATTAGGATGTCAGAAGTGTACATCGAGCAAAGAAGATAAAATGGACTACCCCAGCTATACGTCTATCATTGGAGCAGAAGAGAAAAACGAGGAGAAGAACAAGAGGCGAAAAATTTTCAAGAGACCCGAGAGTTTGTGGAGAAACCTTCGTAATTTTTTTTTTTTTTTTTTTCTATTGCGAGAATTGGAAAGGGACGTATAAAAACCGAGAGAAGAGATGAAAAAAAAGTAAACTCGCGACAAAACTTACTTGTTAATGTTGTTATAAACTGAAAATACTGTTGTTGTTGTTTAGTTGTAGAGCTCGCCGCCGCTAGTCACTTTCCCCTCTTTTTACCCCCTTCGTCCTTGTGTCAAGAAACTTTCTACCCTTCATATTAATCGTCACATACATGTACACAAATATATACACGTACCTTCACTTCCTCCTCCTGTCCCTTTAAAAAAAAAAAAAAAAAAAAAAAAAAAAAAAAAAAAAAACGTAAAGACATCTCATCCTCTTCAGAATCTCTCCCATAAGTGTATAATCTCTACTTTTTCCTGTGTGTGTTTTTTTATATACTTTGTACGTTTTATTTTTTCTATGTTCTGTTGACTACTTGACTGTGTACTGAGGCGCGTTCAATTTTCTAAAAAATAAAAATGCGTAGTTTAATGCGAGATATTTTGGTGATTTATAAGATTAAAATGATAAGCGAGTGAGAGAGGCAATTTAATTAATCTGTTGCGTTGTTTTGGTGGCGATTTTGTTGATATATTGTATTTTAAATAATTTTTTTTTTTCCAATTCTCTTGCCTTGAACATAAAATTTACCCTATCCGGGCTACGAAAGTTTTCGCGCATCTTCTCGGAGAGAGTTTGGACAAGAATCAATGACACATAAAGAGAAAAACAGCAGGTCCCAAGTGACTCGGCGATGATAAATAGAGGATTATTTTTCCTTCCCCACAAGTGGCTCTTCATTAAATGTGAGAAAACCAAGTCGTTGATTATCGAGCCCTTGTAACTACGAACATTCGTACCCCTAACTATTATCATATTTTTTTATTATTAATATTATTATTATTATTATTTCTTATAACATTTTTATTAGTTATTAACATTATTGCTATTTTATATTGTACGACGTAAAATTAGTGCTTTTTGCGTACGTTGCATTTAAAATAAATATTAGATAGTCTGTACGTTATTATCTTAGTAAAGTAAAACGACTGTGCAAACTAAACGTAAACGAGAAAAAACGATCAGTTTAGAAAAGAGTAGACTCGTTTAGATTAAAAAATGAAAGACAAGTGGAAGTCTCTCCTTGATGATAATATCCGTGTTTAATGAAATGTGCATTTTCCGCATTTACGTATATTGTCGTTCATACATACGCTACTCTGTCGTATTTTTGATTACTCCCTTTTTTCATACAACGTGTCTGACTCGATGTGTGGTTAACTGATTATTTGTTTTTTCATCGTATATGTATTATTTGCTTTCTTTTTTCTATTACTTAATGTTCTCGTACGAGGTCGCCGGTTATCGACTTGAGGTGTGTCTTGTTTATCATTTGTACAAAAAAAAAACAAAAAAAAACACGTTGTTATCAAATACGCGAAAATTTCTCCAAATGACTGAAAAAGCGTGAACGCCGTTTAAGTTAGTATTAAAGAGTTTTTTATTTTTACCACGATGTTGCGCGCTAAATATGAAAACTCGAACAATTTTGAAAGATCTTCTATATATATGAAAGAAGCAAACGTATGATTTCACTTCTCGTGCTTAAAGACAATCAGTAGACGAAAATATTGAAAAAAATAGTTTGGTAATAGAAAATCCAAGATTACCTGTAAGATCTGTGAGTAAATCAATATTAAGCGGCTCCGGCACAATCTCATAGAATTCGTTCATCGAAAGAAAGAGCAGATGAAAAAAATACAAAGGTCGTTTTTTTGTTAAAAAAAAAAAAAAAATCAAATAACACGAAGGAAATGCGAATGAGTCAAGGAAAGTAGGGATGAAAGTGGAAACCCCCAGTATTAAGCGCTCGTTCGACGTTTTCTAAATTCCCGACCCCTTTTGTTTCTTTCGTGCATTTTTTTTATTATTACGTAATATTGCTTAGTGTTTAAATAAATAAATGAAAAGAGAAAAACGATCGTACGAATCTGTGAATCCAGTGTTTTTGTAATCATTGGTGTTGTTTTTTTTCCGTAAATTGAAAAGAGAAACATTAGTTCAAGAACAAAAAAATTTCACTATTTGATGCATTAAATGAATTTTACGTACNATATTTTATCGAGTGTAACACTGTGAGTGAAAGTGAGAATGTTATATAATAATAATAATAATTTTGAAAACATCGAGTCACTTTGAAAAAGCGGCATTCAAGCATTTGATGCACAATGTACTTTCAACGAGGCATGTGGTTTTTAACATTTTTTTCTTTTTTTTTTCATAATTATTTTCTCATCACATTTTGGTCTCACGTGAGCTGTTGCATACGAGTGATTGGATGAATTTTTAAAAATCACAAGCCCTCGCGATCGAAAACATAAAATAGATAGAAAAAAAAAAAAAAAGACTGATACATACAAATAAAGTTAAAAGGAAAATATAAACGAACAGGTAAATCTCCAAAGTAATAAGTAAACGATAAAAGTAGCCAATCATTATTCCACCATCGAGTGCGAGTGTGTACGAGAACTAAAAATGAATTTTGCTCGTAGACATCGGGTGCAGAAAAAGGTGACGTATATATATATGGTGAATACAAATATATATTTATATGTATATACATGTACAAATAGACGAACACGAGTGTGACAGAAAGGCAAGAAGACGCGGAAAGATCTACAATATATATATAATTGGACGACAGTGACGCAGAGTTATAGTAAAACAGTACTTAAGTAGTGGTGATGTTATACATATGTATGTACGTAATGCAGAGATCGAGAGATGTATAAAAGATGAATCAGAAGCCAAAAGGTAAAATGTTATACATTATTATTATTATTTTTTTTTTAATTATTTTTTTAAGTAGTGTCGTAGTCAGTTTAGTAGTGATTAATGAATTTTTATACAACTTTCACACACACACGTACAACACGAAACTCTGTAAGAGCATCGTATTACATTTCTACATCTCTTTATTAATTTGTCAGTTGACTAGGTTTTTCCTCTATTTGTTTCAATTTTGTGTTTTAATTGTAGTTAAGATTTTCCGCCCGCGTTTCTCGAATGTTTGCTTTTTAACAAAGAAACAAGAAACACGCACTGTTCTCTTACGAAAAGGCAAAATTGATCTCCTTTTCTTTATTTAGTTCTAAATTTACATTACATACGTAGTGATCGGGCGCTTTCGCGTCTCGCAAGTATTAACATATACACACAAACGTTTGACTCTTAAAAAAATAATTTTTTTTTGTAATTAATCAATATCATACTACTATTTTTATTGTTAAATTTTTGCTGCCAGCGACTACATGCATGTTTGAGACGAACACATTTGTCATTTCCATGATAAATTAATTACTCATTCCCCACTGGTTATCAAAGTGAGTTATTTTCTTCCCTTTTCGATTTGTGCATCATCGTTTCAATCTCAAATTCACCGCGATTACGGTTCTGGAGGAAAAAAAATAAGCCTCACTGCCTTAAGTTAAGAAGAAAAATATAAAAAGGAAATTTTGCCTTGGTTTTTCGTCGACTCGTTCGATCAGGATGAAAAAGTTTCCGCGATAGCTCCCGACGACACACTCACTCGGGGGACTGTCCCGGAAGCGATGGTTATTTTTACGCTTGATCGTGCTAGCCGAGGACACTGTCGTTCGATGGGCCGTCGAATTTCGCAATCTTTCAAGCAATTTCACATTATAACTTTGTTGATAGGTTCTTTAAAAAAAAAAAAAAAAAAAAAAAAATTCTAAGTATGTATATATCTACATCGTACCAAAGTTTTCAAAGCGACATCCCGGTTTAAACGTACGTCGAAGCGGCGATACTTTTGTTTCTGTTTTACGATTGACTGTTGAAAAAATTTTAAAAGCAATATTTTTGATATTTAATTATATATAGATGTATATATAAGTGATAATTGTTACGAAATCTTTTCGAATTGAATTTTCATTGCAAATGAAAAAAAAGAAAAAGAAAAAAAATTGTTTTTTGTGAAGTTGCTGGTACAATGGACTTCCACGGCTCATCGACACAAAGTGTTTGGTGCTACAATCTTTACTTGCCATGTACTTACCCATGACTATGTCATAGTTAATTTTTTTTATCTTTATCTTACGTTACGTACACGTCATATTATATAATAGTCATGAACATTTATCCTTGTTTCGATTGAACGAGACGTGAAAAAATGAGCTCGGCAAAAACTCTTAACATTTCCTTTCATTTCAGCTTGTGAAAATTAAAAATTAAAAAAATCAACTTTTGTGATTAAAAATAAACAAAGATCTCGAAATGACCCTTTTCTTTCTCATGGTTTCCTGAAAGATTCAACCCGACGCGTTACACATAGCAACACAGACAGTCAAGATTTTGTTTTTTTTTCTCTTTTTTTTTCTTTTTCATACAGTGATAGATTAGTCAAATAATATAAGTTTAGCCGAACTGATTTTAACGAGATATGACTTTTTTTTACTACTATTAACTGTTATTATTAATGTCCTTGTATAAAAGTTGAACGATGTTAAACAGATCGTATTAAGAGATGCACAATGAATAAAAAAAAGAAATTCCGTTTTTCACACAGCAGAAAAAAATGTAGGAAGAATAAGACGAGGTGTTAAATGATA